GATCTGTACACATCTGGTGTGTGTAAATTATATGTATATAATAAGTTGTACATCAATTAAACCTTAGTAAATTTGATTTTTTAAATGCACAGATAATTATTAAATTAAGATATAGAGAACATCAGGGCACCTGGGTGGCTCAGTCAGTTAAGCATCTGACTTTTGACTTTGGCTGAGGGTCTCATCTCAGGGTTATGGATCAGGCTCTGTGTTGGGGTCAGCAGGGAATCTGCTGGATATTCCCTCTGTCCCTCTCCCTCTGCCCCTCCCCCCACTAAAATAAATAAATCTTTAAAGAAAAAAGAAATAGAACACACAGATAGCCTTATGTCTGTTAAAAAAAAAATTGTTATCAAAATCTTCCCCACAGGGGTCCCTGGGTAACTCAGTCAGTTAAGCACAGACTCTTGATTTCGGCTCAGGTCGTGCATAATCTCAGGGTCATGAGATCAAGCCCTGTGTCGGGCTCCATGCCGGGCATGGAGCCTGCTTGGGATTCTCTATCTCACCCCTCCCCGCTGCTTGAGCATGCACACTCTCTCTCTAAAGAAACAAACAAACAAAAAAACTTCCTCACAAAGAAACTACAGGTCCGCATGGTTTCACTGTGAATTCTATTAAACGTTTAAGGAAAAAGTAATACCAACTTTACCAAAAAACTGCTTTTAGAAAATAGAGAAGGAGGGAAATTTTCCCATTTCTTTTTATGAGAACAGCATAATTCCCATCACCAAAAACTGGCAGACATTACAAGAAGAGAAAATTACAGATAAATATCAAATAGAGAAATAGAAAAATTAATAATACATCCAAAGGTGGTTGATCCCTGTAATAATAATGTTATTCCTAAGAATGAAGGGTTGGTTTAGTATTCCAAATCAATGTAATTTGTCACATTAACAAAATAAAGGATTAAAAAAAATGATCACCTCAGGATAGAAGCAGAAAAAGCATTTGACAAGATTCAGCACCATTCCTGATGAGTAATCTCAACAAACTCAGGCTAAAAGTGACTATCCTCGGGCGCCTGGGTGGCTCAGTTGGTTAAGCGACTGCCTTCGGCTCAGGTCATGATCCTGGAGTCCCGGGATCGAGTCCCGCATCGGGCTTCCTGCTCAGCGGGCAGTCTGCTTCTCCCTCTGACCCTCTTCCCTCTCGTGCTGTCTCTCACTCTCTCTCTCTCTCAAATAAATAAATAAAATCTTAAAAAAAAAGTGACTATCCTCATCTGATACATGGCATATACGAAAAAATATACTGCTAACAACATACTTCACAGTGAAATGGAGAACTTCCCCCCCACTGCCATGATCAGAAACAAGGCAATTATATCTGTTCTCACCACTTCTGTTAAACATCTTATCAGAAGTTCTAGCCAGTCCAATAAAGCAAGAAAAATAAAATAAAATGCATTAATAGTTGAAAGGAAGAAGCAAACATGTCTTTATTCACAGAAGACATAATAGTTTATGTAGAAAATCCAAAGAAATCAATAAATAAGCTACTAGAACTAACAAATTAATTTAGCATGGTTTTTACATATGAAGTCAATATTAAAAATCAAATATATTTCTATATGCTAGCAGAAAAATAATTATGAAATGAAAATTTAAAAGGCAATCCCATTTTTAAAAAAGCACCAAAACTTAAAAGACTTAGAAATACTTAGAAATAAATTTAATAAGAGATAAGCAATACCTCTACTCAGGAAGCTGAAATTAAATACCTAAATAAATGGAGAGCTATACCATGTTCATGAATCAGAAGACTCATTATTAAGATATCTATTCTCCCCAAATTGGTCTATAAATTCATCACAATCCTACCCCCACATCACAACATACTTTTTTTTTTCCAGACACTGTTAAGTGGTGCAAAGTTTTTATGGAGATGCAAAGGAACTAGAGTGGTCAAAGTAGTCTTAAAAAAGAAGAAATTGCATTTCATTTCATTCCCACTAGCACAGCTAAAATTAAAACACACCAAATATTGGCAAGAATGTGGAGCAACTGGAACACACCTTGCTTGTGTAAAACATTAAAACCTCTTTGGAATATAATTTGGCTACTTCTTATCAAGTAAAACAACCCAATCAAAAATGAGCAAAAGTCTTAAACAGACAATTTACAAAAGAAGATATAAGAATGACTGGTAAGTATGTCAGATAGACATACAAAAAGAGGTCCAATATCATTAGTCAACAGAGAAGTTCAAACTAAACTCACAATGAGAGAGCATTTCACACCCACTAGACTGGCTGAAATGAAAAAGACTGACAACACCAAATGTTGGCAACGATGTGAAGCAACTGGAACATACTTTGCTGGTGGGAGTGTAACCTGGTAAAGCCACTTTGGGAAACAGTTTGGCTCTTTCCTATAAAGTTAAACACACAACCTGGCCTAGCAATTCCACTTGTAGGGATTAACCCAAGGGAAATAAAAACAGATGTCCACAGAAAGACATTACAAGAATGTTCACAGAGGTTTTATTCTTAAAGCCCCAAACCAGAAATGACCCAAAGATTTATCCACAGGACAATGCACAAATAAAATTGTGGCTATTTACACAATGGAATGATACCCAGCAATAAAAATGAGTAAATTACTGATGATATACATATCACAATATGAATAAATCTCAAAGATTTATTGAAAATTGAAAGAAACCATGCAGAAGAGTATATATTATATGGTTCCATTTATATGAAGTTCAAGAATAAGCAAAACTGATCTATAATGATAGAAATCAGGACAGTGGCTGCTAAGGGGTGAGAAGTTTCCAGAAAGTGATAGAAACGTGTACACATATCAAAACTCATCAAAGTGTACACTTAAGATAGGTGCATCTCAGAGTATGTAAATTTTATGTCAGAAAAAAAAAAGGATGTCTGGAGTAATGTCATCAATAATTTAAAACTTGCGAGCAACTTAAATATCTTGCAGTAGGGGTTTAGTTAATAAAGTATATACCCAAATTTTGCAGCCACTAAAAATAATGCTACCGAAAGCTATCTATTGACATGGAGAAACATTCATGGTCACTTATTTGAAAAAGAAAGTTATCAAAATAGTACAACCGTATGAAAGCACAGAAAAAAAGGTCTGGAAGGTTTTCACCAAAGTGAGACTCAAGGTCAACCTTGAGAGGTGTGATTCTGCCTGTCTTCACCTTTTCTACACCGAACACAGACTTAACTCTTGCAATAAGAAGAAAACATTTCTAGATACATCCCTATAGTTCTAGATACTTAGACACGATTCACTCTGCTTATTCATGGTAGCTGTGATCTATAAGGTCACAGTGGTCCTGAATTAGCAAATAGTGAACCATTGCTCCTGGGGGAGATACAGGGGGAGGCTCCTGCCAGCGTCTGGTCACATTTTTGTCAATGTGTTTTACATGTGAGGGGAGGAGTTCATCGCTATCCACGCCTCAGCTGGGAGGGGACACCTGGCAGGTCTGTGTGTGTGGAACCCTCCCGGACTCTGTCTCATGGGTTTCTTCCCTTGGAGGATTTGAATCCGTACCTTTCATCGTAATAAACCATAAGCGTGAGCACAATAGCTTTTTGGCTCTGGGGGTTCTTCCAGCGAATTATCAGACCTAAGGGCGGTCTTGGGCTCCCCAGTCTGCATCTATCTCAGTGTCTCGAATACCCCTTTTGAATCACTCACTCAATGAGTTTGATCAACGTGCCCTTTATCTATCTGCGTGAGGTTTATGACTCAGACATCTGAGACTTACACTTCGTTTACTGGATTGTTCCTTTAATAATGAGAACATGAGGAGAGATGAAAAACCGTCCATGATTCAGCACTCAGTGGTTTCCAGGGGAGGGAGGAAGGGGCCCTATTCGGGCTGGGCTCAGTTACCCTTAGAAGAAACAGTCTGCAGGGTGGCGAGTGGTAGTTGGAGGCGGGGGGTGGGCAAACACGAAAACCCATGATTATAGTCAGCTGAGGCAAGGATGGGGTCGGGGGGAGCTCGGAGGCTCTGGGAGCTGAGAAAAGTGCCCCCAAAGCTTTCCCAGTGCTGAGCAAAAGCCTCCCAGGATCAGGCGCCTTCTAAGTCAGGAAGGGTGGCACCACTGGACCCTTTTCCATTCCAGACCCTTCCTTCAGCTCTGCTTTGGGCCACAGGCCCACTGAAGCATCATCATTATTAGTACTGTTCTGTAATTATCCTGTTGTTATTTGTAACCCGAAGCATTTTAGGCAGTTTTCAATTAAAAAAAATATACCTAACATATTATAACTTATTATAACTTTATAATCACCTAATTTATAAAAGTATATCCATAAAACAAAAGTCAGTAAGTTAGGTAATAAAAAAAAAAGATGAAGGAAAATAATTTGATCAGAACGTCCATGTCATGGAAAATTACCGTTTCCAAATACAACCCTGACCCGTGAGCCTCCAGGCCGACCAGCTAGCCCTGGGAATGAGATGGGCTGCAAATCTGTTGGTCCAGCAGGACCTGCTTTCCCTGGCCATGAGCACAGCTGGGATTTGCTTCGGGCCCTCCCTGGCCCCACCGGGCTCCAGAGGCAGGTTGGGACCGGGTCCAGAGGCTCAGAAGGAAGGCCCCAGCTCTAGGCCCTGTCCTCCCATCCTCCCCCAGGGCTCCAGCCACACAGAAGGGCAGGACAATCAGTCCGCTGCCCACCAGATCCGTGTGCCTCATTGGACAACAGACGTGGCTCCAAGGCTGGTGAACAGAGACCCTGGGAGCCTTCTCTGCCTGCCCCCATTCCCGGGTGAGTGCGATCCAGAGCGGAAGAAAGAGGCTGTAAACTGAATCCCCTCCCCCAGGCCAGGACTCATGATTCTCCTCCACGCAATCAATGCACACAGGGTCCCCACCTCAGCGCCCATGGCAGGTGGCAGCAACCCCCAGAGACTCCGCAGCCCAGTCCTGCCGGTGCCCCGTCCCCCTGCACCCTGTGCCCCAGCCCTTGGCCCTTGACCCCCGGCCCCCCACACCCCGGCAGACTCACCCTCCTCACAGTTGCTCCCGGTGAAGCCAGGACAGCATCTCCATTCCAGCGCCGTCACCGTGCGGTAGGACACTCTGTATGTGGGTCTGATCAGAGTTCTGTAACTAACACAAGGGCAGCATCAGGACAGTGTGAACGCCCATCCACCTGCCCACCCACCCAAGGCCCCATCCCACTTCTGCAGAGAGCACGCAGCCCAGGGCTCTGGGAGCCACCTGGGTAGTGGAGCCCGTCATCCCGGCTCTGTGCCCACTGGCTGTGTAGCCCTGGGCAAGTGACCACCCCTCTCTGTGCTGGATGCATTATAAAGTCCCTCCCAGCTCTGCCTTCCGGTAAGTTTCCAAGCAGGGCCACCGAGGGTGGGAAAATGTCTGCCATGGATTGAATTGTGTCCCCAGAACCCGTATGTTGAAGACTTGTCCCCCCCCCATCATGTGTCTCTATTTGCATAGAGGGTCTTTAGGAGTTAATTACAGTTTAATGAGGTCATCAGGGTGGGGCCCTAATCCATCACAGCTGGTGGCCTTATAAGAAGAGGAAGACAGAGAAAGAGATCTCTGAGCTCATGCACACACGGAGGAGAGGCCGTGTGAGGACCCAGCGAGAAGGTGACCATCTGAGAAAACACACTTCTGTTGTTGAAACCCCCCAGTCTGTGATATTTTGCTGTGGCAGCCTGAGCTAAGACGTCGACCAAGATGATGAAGAAGGAAAAGAAAATTATCGTTAGGACGTCCTCAACTTCCAACCACCCAAAAGTTCCTGAACTCTAACACTTTGTCCCAATCATCTCCTTTGGCTGATTCATCCAATGAACACTTATTGAGCGCCAACTACATGGGATACTGTGGTCACAGACTGACAGAACTGAGTCCTGCCTTCGAGAAAATCACAGCCTCATGGATGAGTGAGACACACCAATGAAAACTGGCAGCCCCATTGTGGGACCCTATTTCCCTGCAAACTGCTGTGGATTCCGGGGCCAGATTTCACACTCCTGCAGTTTTGATATTTTTCTTGCAAAAAAGCTTGACACTATTTTACAAAACTCCGAGACATAAGATGTGTGACCACACCACCATGAGCTATCACCTCACACCTGTCTGAATGGCTACCATCAACAACACAAGAAACAATAGGTGTGGGCGACAATGTGGACAAAGGGGAAACCTCATGCAGTGTTGGAGGGAATGCAAACTGGTGCAGCCACCGTGGGAAATGGTATGGCAGTTCCTCAAAAAATTAAAAATAGGACTCCCGGGGCGCCTGGGTGGCTCAGTCGGTTAAGCAGCTGCCTTCGGCCCAGGTCATGATTCCAGGGTCCTGGGATCGAGCCCCACATCGGGCTCCCTGCTCGGCAGGAGGCCTGCTTCTCCCTCTCCCTCTACCTGCCGCTCCCCCTGCTTGCACTCTCTCTCTCTCTAATAAAAAATAAAAAATCTTTTAAAAAAGAAAAAATAGGACTCCTATTTGATCCAGCAATTCCACTTCTGGGGACTGATCCAAAGAAAACGAAAACATTAATTCAAAAAGAGATCTGTGCCCCCATGGGCATCGTAGCCTTACTTACAATAGCCAACACATGGAAACAACTTAAGTGTCCATCGACAGAGGAACGGATAAGAAAATGTGATGTATGTACACGATGGACAATTACGGAGCCATAAAAAGGGAAGAAATCTTGCCATTTGCGACAGCAATGGATGAAGCGTGAGGGCATTATGCTAAGTGAAATAAGTCAGACAGAGAAAGACAAATACTGGATGATCTCCCTTATATGTGGCATCTAAGGAAAAAACAACCGAGGTCATAGATACAGATAAACTGATGGCTGCCAGAGTCGGGAGGTAGGGGCAGGCATAATGGGAGAAGGGGGGATCAAAGGGCAGAAACTTCCAGATATAAAATAAAATGTAAAGGTCTTGGGATGTGATGTACAGCATGGGACTATAGTTAATAAGACTGAGTGGCATATATAAAAATTGCTAAGAGAGTAGATCTTCAAGTGCTCATCACAAGAAACACAATTTTTGTAACTGTGTGTGGTGACAGATACTAACTAGACGTATTGTGGTGATCATTTGCAATACATATAAATATCAAATCAAATACTATACACCTGAAACTAACTTAACATGGAATGTTAATCATACCCCAATACACACATACACACATAAACATATGACCCAATCTCACAAGGAGGATACACTTGGCTTTATCATTCGATTTGCACGCATCGTTATGACTTCGCTGCTTGATCACGTTTGCACATCTTCCTCCTGAGAGCAAAGCTAAGTGACTGCCCAAAATCCGAATCTGCTGACACCAAGCAACTTAATCGGGGAATGGGAAAATTATGAATTAATTGGTAGCAGCAGGAGTGACGTTTCAAGATGCCCCGTTAACAGGAAAACACACGAGTCACATCTCGAATTTCAGAAATACTGCACTCGATCTGAACAATCCTGTTACACTAATTTCTCTTTTACCAAAAAAAAAAAAAAAAGGCCCCTCGCTCATGTTTCATGAACATTCTGGCAAACCAGCTTCCCCCTGGAGATCTAAGGGGGGCGTGAGGCTGTGTGCAGCCAGGGGCAGGAAATTCCGAGTGAGAAGCCAGGAGTCTGCACGGAGAGACGTCCACACTGGGACCAGGACAGTGGACCCAGATCTTTAGACCCTCGACTGCCCCCCAGGAAGCTCTGCGGCAGGCCAGAGGGGCAGGGCAGACAGAGGAACTGTGTCCCATCGTCACCCCACGGCAGGTGGCCTGGTGGGCCATCGGGGCTGCTGAGCCTGGGTCCGAGGAGCACACATAGATAATAAACAGGTGATAATAAGCACACACGCACACAGTCACATACACACCCTCCTGCGTGCACCTACGGGCTCCCGTGCTTTCATGCTCACACACGCACATGTGCTCACACGCACACACGCTCACGTACTTTCACACCCTCAACACTCACAGGCACTCATTCACACGCTCACACCCTCACCACCGCCTTCCTGCTGCAGATCTCCCAGCCGGAAGCAGGCCCAGCTAGGAGAGGGAGGGAGCTTTAATTTAGATAAAAGACGCCAGTTTTTTCACTGATTCCCGGAGTAAGATGTCCCTCCGGCTGAGAGGGAGCAGAAAGGCTATGGAAGCCCCACCTGGGGCAGACGTGCAGGGCGGGGAAAGGGTCAAGTGTCTTGCAGCTCGCATCCTGCCAAGGGCAGCCGATGCCACGGATGGGTGCCTCCTGTAACCTCAGCACCATGGGGTGGATGGGGCCCTGGACTGTGGGCTTTGGGCGCTGCCCCTAACTCACGATGTGGACTTGCACGCATGACTTATGAGGACACCACAGAGACCAGGATGCAGGGCGTGAGGCTCGCTGAAAGGGTGCGTGTGCGAGGCGCCCAGGGCAGGAAGCGTGCACAGATGCTGGTTTCGCAAAATGCAGATCTGACCTCATTCCTCTCGGCCCACGCCCTTCAGCCGTCCCCGCTGCGGTCAGGAGGGTCTGACTGCTTAGCCATGCGTGCAGGCCCTTGTCCTGCTCACATGGCCGCTCTCCGGCCCCCTGAGCCATAGGCTGTCCCTCCCCCTCCGGCCCCTGAGCCAGGCAAATGCACCAGGCATCCCTCCATCCACGCCTTGAATGATGATGATGATGGAAATAAGAACAGGTATCATAAGAGCTTTGAGTATTCACCATGCACCAGGCACTGTTCTGAATGTTGTCCGTGTGCTGACTCATAACAATCCTAACAGGTGGATACTATTACTAATCCTAATTTACAGATGAGAAAACTGAGGCACAGAGAAGTTGAGCAACTTTCTCAAGGTCACACTGCCAGAACGTAACGGGACTAGGATCCAAACGCAGACAGAATTGGCAGAACCTACCAATACTAATTTGTGTTTGTTCGGCACAAGGGAATATTTTCCCTCCCTACATCTGCACAAGATCCTGATCTCGGGCTTTAAAGCAGAGGGAAAGCTTGTCCTCCAGAAAGGTCCCTTACTGCCCCTCATTCAGAGAGCCATGGGCTGACCTGCCCCACTCTGGGACCAGAAGGAACCAGATGACCTGTGATGTCCAGGAGCAGGGCACACCAGTAGGTGGCGCTGCTTCGCCAGCCCTGAGGGCCCGGGCTCAGCCTGGCAGACCCCTCAGGTCTCCCCTGAGTGCCCTGGGCAACAGGCAGTATTCGAAGCCTTTCCCCTCCTACATTTCATGAAGAACTCCCAGCCCGTCCACTGGGATCCAGTCTACAAACCCGGTGTTCTTTCTAAAATGTAGATCCGATTTTGTGACTGCCCTCTCTCAAAAACTCCCATGGCTCCCATAGACTAAGGACTAAGCTCTTTAAGTCAGTAAAGAAGGCCCTGCCTACCTTTCTATGCTCCCTTCCTCCTGCCACCCCCAGCCAACCCCCTACCACCACAGCACAACCTGCTCTTCCTGCCCCTGGGCCTTTGCACGTGCAGGCTCCTCTGCCTACCTGCCCTTCCTCCTTTACTCTGCCTGAGAAAATTCCCAAGAGCCTTCAGGGTGTGACTCACCTGTCATCCTCCTCTGTGAAGTACCCCCGGCTCCTGGCAAGTGCACAGGCTCCCTGCTGAGCCCTCCCACAGCTCCTTGCCCAGAGCTTGCTTTGAACCCAACGCTCATGCGTGCACTCAGCAGGTACACACTGAGAGCCTGCTGGGTGCCAGACAATGGAAACACAAGCATGAAGAAGGCGGGCACAGCTCTGCTCAGCCACAGAACCACACACATGAACGAACGGACGACCACGGGCCACGGTAAGTGCTATGAAGTGAAGCACCGAATTCACACCTCACATTAAAGCAGGCTTTTTTTCTTTTTTATTAAAATATAATGTACATGCAGCAAAATAGATAAACCTAGTGTTTAGCTTAATAAACTTTTACCTATGTGTAAACCAACGGTCCCAACTCCAAAGTCACCCGTGCCATCTCCAAAATGACTACCCTGCCCCCAGGCGTATCCATTCTGATTTCTCTCCCCCTCCCCTCCCACCCCCCGTTCTAGAATCTCATATACACAGAACCTCGCAGCATGCACTGGTTTCTGCCCACCTT